GACATTAAGGCAGAAATCAAGAAGTTCTTTGAAATGAATGAGAACCAAGACACAATGTACCAGAATCTCTGGGACACAGGTAAGGCAGTGTGAAGAGGTAAACTTGGAGTACTCAGCAAATGCAAAAGAACTGAAATCATAATAAACATTCTCTCAGAGCACAGCACAGCCAAATTAGAAATCAAGACTAAGAAATTTGCTCAAAACCACACAATTACATGGAGATTGAACAACCTGCTCCCAAATGACTTTTGGGTAAATAATAAAATTAAGGCAGAAATCAAGAAGTGACTTGAAATGAATGAGAACCAAGAGACAATGTACCAGAATCCCTGGGACACAGGTAAGGCAGTGTTAACAGGTAAATCTATAGCACTAAATGCTCACATCAAAAAGTTAGATCTCAGTTTAACAACATCACAAAAAAAGAACTAGAGAACCAAGAGCAAATCAAACCCAAAACTAGAAGAAGACAAGAACTAACCAAAATCAGGATGAACTGAAGGAGAGTGAGATGGGAAAAACCATTCCTGCCTGTTGCTAAACCAAAACGAGTCCAAGAGTTGTTTTTTTTTTTTAAAATTAACAAAATAGACTGCTACCTAGATTAATAGAGAAGACGTAAGTAAACACAACTAGAAATGATAAAGGGGATATTACCATCAATCCCACAGAAATACAAATAACTATCAGAGAATATCAGGAAGACCTCTAGGCACATAAACTAGAAAATCTAGAAGCTATGGATAAATTCCTGGACATATAAACCCTCCCAAGACTGAGCCAGGAAGAAACTGAATCCCTGAACAGATCAATAATGAGCTGTGAAGTCGAATCAATAATAAATAGCCTACCAACCCAGTAAAGCCCAGCACCACATGGATTCACAGCTGAATTCTAAAGATGAGCTGGTACCATTCTTACCAAAACTATTCCAATAAACCGAAAAGGAGGGACTCCTCTATAACTCATTCTATGAGGCCAGAATTATTCTGATACCAAAACCTGGCAGAGACACAACAAAAATAGAAAACGTCAGGCCAACATCACTGATGAACATAGATGCAAAAATCCTCAACAAAATACTAGCAAACCAAACCTAGCAGTGGCACATCAAAAAGCTAATCCACCATGATCAAGTAGGCTTTATTTCTGGGATGCAAGGTTGGGTCAACATACACAAATCAATAAATGTGATTCATCACATAAACAGAACTAAAAACAAAAACCACAGGATCATCTTGACTGATGCAGAAAAGGTTTTCAACAAAATTAAACATCCCTTCATGTTAAAATACCTCAATGAACTAGGCATTGAAGGAACGTACCTGACAATAATACATAAAATAATAAGACAGTGTGGCAATTCCTCAACACCTAAAAACAGAAGTATCATTCAACCCAGCAATCTCATTACTGGGTATATACCCAAAGGAATATACATTGTTCTTTTATAAAGACACATATATATGTATATTCAATGCAGCATTATTTACAAAAGCCAAGACACGGAATCAACCCAAATGCCCATCAATGGTAGACTGGATAAAGAAAATGTGGTACATGCACACCATGGAATATTATGCAGCCAAAAAAAAAAAAAAAAAAAAAAGAATGAGATCATGTCCTTTGCAGGAACATGGATGGACCTGGAGGCCATTATCTTTAGCAAAATAACACAGGAATAGAAAACTAAATACTGCATCTTTTAGCTCCCACTTATAAGGGAAGCTAAAAGATGAGAACACAAGGACACACAGAGGGCACAACAGACACTGGGGCCTACCAGAGGGTGGAGGCTAAGAGGAGGGAGGGGATTGGGAAAAATAACTCATCGGTACTAGGATTAATACCTGGGTTTGGACAAAATAATCTGCACGATAAACTGTGTGACACGAGGTTACCTATATAACAAACCTGCACGTGAACCCCTGAGCTTAAAAAGTTTAAAAAAAAATCACCAAAAGATTCCAATTCACCTAATGAAATTAATATAACTGTAACACCATGTCTTACAAAGCTAACATAAAAAAGTCTAGATTAATCTCACAAATAGTTGTAAAAATTCTACAAATATAACTCAATATTTTACAAGAATATTGTATATTATTAATTGGCTCAATATTACCATAACTATTAATATAATCTACTATAATAATAAATTAAAAGAGAAAAAAGGATCATATCAATAGACGCTAAAAGGGTCTTCGATTAAATTCAGGAGCTACTCATGAAGAAAACTCTAAGCAAAAGATCAAAATATTAAAGACATGTTATTAAAACTCAACAACAAAAACAATCCCAAATAATGACACACTTTTTTTTTTTTTTTTTTTTTTTTTGAGACGGAGTCTCGCTGTGTCTCCCAGGCTGGAGTGCAGTGGCGTGATCTCGGCTCACTGCAAGCTCCGCCTCCCAGGTTCACGCCATTCTCCCGCCTCAGCCTCCCAAGTAGCTGAGACTACAGGCGCCCGCCACCACGCCCGGCTAGTTTTTTTTTTTTGTATTTTTAGTAGAGACGGGGTTTCACCATGTTAGCCAGGATAGTCTCGATCTCCTGACCTCGTGATCCACCCGCCTCGGCCTCCCAAAGTGCTGGGATTACAGGCTTGAGCCACCGCGCCCGGCCAATGACACACTTTTAATTGATAAATTAAAATCTAAAACAAAATAGGAATATTGTCTACTGCCCTGTTATTAAACATGATCTTTGAGCTCCTTGTGACTAAGGAAAAAATTGTGTAAGGTGAAAGGTAAAATTATTCTTTTGTTGATTACATTATTATATACTTATAAAATCCAAAACTCTAATAAAAAACCTATTTAATTAATAATAAGGTTGCAGACTATATGACATACAATCACCAAGAATATCCTTCTATGCTCACAATATAAATTTTAAATTGTAAGTGGCAAAAAAACACCCAAAAAGTCATTCAAAATAAGGCCCTAAACTGTGAAATACTTATGAATTTGTTTAATATGGAAAACCTATATGAAAAAGATTGAGATCTTATTGAAGGGTATAAAAGAAGTCCTGAAACATAGTATCAAACAAACCTCACTTTCACAAAATTTCACAAAAATGTATTCTGTTTTCCTCTGTGAATATCCAGCTGACACAGCAGCATTTAATGAGATTTAATCAGTGATGGTAGAAGTCAGGACAGTGGTCATCCTTAGGGTGTGGGACAAAGCAGGCTGGTCTGTTTAAAGTCAACAGCCAACACAAGATTTGGGGGAAAAAAATCATAAAAAAAGATAACAGGAAAACACACTGACTTCCCTGATGTGTGAAGAGATTTACTAATTTAAAAGGACAATTGTGTTGGTAAAAAAGGCAAAGTATATGATATGAGCAGTTAATTCACAGAGGTGAGAAGAGAAATGGCCAAGACACGAAAACATGTTTAAAGTTAGTAGGTCCTTGCTTTACATCTAAGTGAGCAAAAAAGTTACAAGAAAAACTTTACACCTATTAAAATGGAAAAATTAAAAGAGCTATTAGAACTGCTATCCAATGAGTGTGAAAATAGTACTCCCATATACTGCCAGTGACAATATGAAGTTTTCTAGCTTTTCTGAAAAAGCAATCCAACAGCTTCTTTTAAAATTACAACTATTTGAATGAACCCTGCACTTCCATCCTCGGACATCTCTTCCATAAGGAGAAAAAGCAGCAGCACATAGATACATATAAACGAGTATTTATTATGTCATTGTCTTGGGGCAGAAATCTAAAAGCAAAGTAATTGCCCTTCACAGAATCCCAACTGGCCCCCAGAGAGGAAGGGGCAAAGAAAGGGGGGGGGGTTTGAAAAATTTCTACCAGGTTCACAGAGTGAAATAACCAAGTAGGACAGTGTGCCTGATGATGACCCCCTTTCTGAATAACAAAACAGGAATATGGGGGAAAACATAGAAGATTACTAAGTCACTTACATGTTAAGCATGGGCAGGGGGTGGGGGGTTACAGAGAAGGCTGAAGAGAAAAGAAGAGAGAAATGGTAGAGGCAGGAGGTGAGCAGAGTGAGAATGGAAACCAGAGTACACTTGGAAAAAAGCAGGTGAGACATGGTTTGGCACAATTATATATGTATAGAAAATTATATGTACAGGTCAAGGTATGAATAAATTAAGTAAAAAGTTCAAATCACTAAACTATGTAAGTGGAAAAGAACTGTTACTAGTGCAAGGCCTGAGAACCCCCTAGAATCATGTTCCTTGAACACTCATCTAAATGGGAGTATGCCCTTCTCAGTACGCCCACCCTTACACTGTTCTACTTTTCATCTCAGTACTTATTGTTGTATGACACAGATGTATTCCATATTTATTTTGTGTACTCGACTATAAGCTATATAAGACAAAGGACTTCTCTCTGTTTTGTTCCTTATTGTATCTCAAACCTCTAGACTGCCTGGCACCAAGCAGGTTCTCAGTAATACTTGTTGGAAGAATGAGAAGGATCACACAGGAAATGGTCAGCCCTTCTGCTAGGAAAGTAACAAAAGAAGTGAGGTCTGGGGTAGAAGTGTGAGTTTCCATCTGATGGACATTTTTTCCTAAAGGTAAATAAGGCTAATAAGGCTTTCAAGAGAATTGTGAATGTATAATATTTTTTTCCTGGAAATAACCTGAAAAGGCTGTTTCAGAGGATAAGATGTCAGTACAAATATACCCAAATCATATACAGAACTTAATTTTAAAAATTAGCATTTAAAACTTCTCCAGATAAACAGTAACAACCCCATTCAGGTCTCACTAACACATGTAAGATTTGTATGATTCCTTTCCTTCCAAAACTAAGTAATTCCGAGGTATTTCAACAGCGTCTAGACTTTATCTTACTTGTGCTCCACTCTGTTGAATAATAAATGCAGTGCAATAGGAAAATTTAATTGTAAAATGATCTTTTCCAAAAGAATGCCCCATTTCCTTAATTTGATTCTTCTTTGTCTAAAGCCAAGTTCCCGAAAGGTCAGAGCAGACTTACTTACATTGCAGCCCTTGTCCGTTAGGTAACTGATCCCTTCTTCTGGGCCGATTGCCAATTCCACTGAAATAATCCAGCTTGACTTTTGAAGGTGAAGCAAGTGAGAACAGAGGTGGCAGAAGGAAAAAAGAAATACTTTAGATAAAGAGCCGTGGATATGTTAAAGGACCAAAGCAGGGGCTGGTTTGGTTTGCTATTAATCTATCTAACCAAATAAGATAAAATATTTAAGTATCTATAATTGACCCAGGATCTGTTAAGCCTATACAAAGATGTACTGTGCTTATTTCAACATGCCTGATGCCAAGAGTTTCTCTGGGATGATTATCTAAATAGGTAAACTAGCCCTTAGATAACAATTAACAAATCACAGGGATAAAATTTAAAAAATCTAATTATGAAAATAGGCATGCTGTTTTTAAAAAGGTGATTTTATTCTCACATTATTTTCTTTTTCTATTTTTCACATGGTAAAATGACAAAATATCATTTCATTGAAAAAATGGGACAAGTTAGCATTTTTTTCATCAGAAATTTAGATATACAGTAAGAGATAAGAAAAAGTAAAATCAAACTAGCCCACTATTTCCCACATTTCCATACTTACACCAAGAGCACACTTGAAGCATTCCTTATCAAATCTGTAGACTGGAGACAGGATCTCAAAGAATTTCAGAATACTTTCTTCTCTATTAAGGTTGGCGAATTGTCTAAATGTTTGTTGGATCAGTTTTCTTAGTGTTTTGGCCTGCATGACAAAATTACCAAAAATCTTGAAAAACTCAGCAATGAGTAAAGACCAAAACAACAATAGTAAGATTTCTCTCCTACCAACTACATACTAACACCTACAATCATATTACTGCCAAAAAGTATACTTGTCAAATAACCATAAATGTATTTATCAGAGCTTTATTTCTTTTAATTGTGGCAAAATGCATATAACACAAAATTTACCATTTTAACCATTTTTACCTGTAAAGTTCATGTACAGAGTTTTATTTCTTAAACAGAAGTTTGTCCTATATGTGCACATGACTCAGAAAAGACCAGGCAAAAGGTATAAAGGTACTCGCACATTCCACTGTTAGGAGGGAAAAAACTATATCTTTCTGAAGGACAGCACAAATCAAAAACTTTTAAAAAACCACAATGCTTGATCCAGAAAATAAAATTCCAGAACATTATTTTTGAGATACATGCAAAGATTCAGGAACAAAGAGATTCACTGCAGAACTGTTTACAGTAATATAGAGCCTGGTTACGTAAATTATGGTGTATCTATCTTCTCAACCAATATTCTATGCAGCCTCAAGAACTGTTTTGGAGAACTAATTTACTGGCATTAAAACTCATATCACATTGTTACATGAAAAAAGATGACAAAAAAGTCAGCGTAGAGTACAGATGCCTTTAAAAGGCAAGAGCACACGTGTGGGTCCTGGTGAGCACACAGCAATGTATCCACGAATGACTTAGAGCAACGATGCTTTCGCTTTTATCGTGAAGTAAGATGATAGGTGGTCTTCTGGTCCTTTTTTGCTTATTTGAGTTTTCTACTTATACACATGGAAATCTGCATAGTGGAGGAAAATGCTTTCCAAGCAGCAAGCCCCTAGTCCTTGGTGTGTGAAGCAGCCTGAGGAGGCCATGGATAAAGGGAACATGATGAGGTGTAAGGAAGAGGGGCAAGAGAATGCAGGTCATGGTAACAACTTGACTTTGACCCCGAGGAGTTGCCAAGTCCTCAGGAGACTTTGAGCAGAGGAGTGACATTATCTGACTTAGGTTTTTTTTTTTTGGATATAGGGTCTCTGTCCCCCAGACTGGAGTGCAGTGGCGTGATCTCGGCTCACTGCAACCTCTGCCTCCCAGGCTCAAGCGATTCTCCTACCCCAGCCTCCTTGAGTAGCTGGGATTACAGGTATGCACCACCACACCCGGCTAATTTTTTATTTTTAGTAGAGACAGGGTTTCATCCGGTTGGTAAGGCTGGTCTTGAACTCCTGACCCCAAGTGATCCACCTGCCTTGGCCTCCCAAAGTGCTGGGATTACAGGCATGAGCCACCGCGCCCGGCCTGAATGAGGTTTTAACAGGGATACTCTGGCCACTGTGTTATGAACAGTATGAAAGGAGCAGGAGAAACCAAGTCGGAGCAGCCCAAATAATACAGGCAGGAGGAGACAGTTGGCACAAGTACAGAACCAGAAAGAGGGTGAGAAGTAGTCAGATCCTAGCTTTCTTTTTTTTTTTTTTTTTTTAAGAGTAACTAGACTCCAATGGATTTATTTTAAACACAGAACCAACAGGATATGCTGATAGTTAATAGCTGCCATTAAACTGAAATGACAAAAATTGTGAGAGGAACAGGTTGGTGGGTGAAGGTCAGAAAGAATGCCAGAAGAATACAAGAAATCTAAGTGGAGCTGTCGAGCACGCCAGTAAGGGCCCAGTGGAGTTCGAGGGGAGGTCCTGGCTGGCCTAGCAGACAGGGAAGATGGATTAGGTAACCTGCTAATCTCAGTGGGTCAGGGAGATGAGGAGCAGTCAGGGGTCCAGGTTGAAGTGTGGCTGCTAAGTCAGGTACACGGTGAACTAGGAGGGCATGGCGTACTTTGGTGGGTCATGGAGGTGACAGCCTGTCTGTAGTGGCTTGAAGGTCCTAGTGGGATCCAAGGATTACTGGATCTGGGATACTACAGAAAGCGAGCTGGAAAGACAGGAGCTGTGGTCAGAGAAGGATACACACAATTAGGGAGGGGGTTCGATTACTGGAAATGAGTAAGACCAGAGTGAGAGGCTGAGGTAAGGTAGTGGACAAGATTCCTGAAGACAGGAATTCAATGAGCCAAGAGAGTGGGACATGGGAGGATTACCTAAGGCATGTGACTTTTATTTTAAAAAGTTCGCTCTGCTCTTGCACACAGAGGGTTGGGGGAGTGTGCAGGAGTGAAAGCAGAAAGACCACTCAGGTCACTGTAACAGACCAAGAAGAACCACTAGTGGCATGGACCCCAACGTAGTGGTGAACGAGAGAAAAGGGCACTTCTGGGACATTTGGATATTATATGCAAGACAACCAGAAAGTGAAGAATACAGGAAAACTAGAGTTTTAGATAGAACAAATAGGCAAACATAAGAGGCAGGCGTGGTAAAAAAAATAAAGTCATGTTAATCCTGTACACGTGTTTGATCGTAAAGTCTTCCAACATGAACCATCAAGGAGACATTTGGATATAAGTTTGGAGCTCAGGAGAGGGCAGCACTGTTGGTAGAAATTTCAGAGCGACCAACTGAAGTATTTAAATACACAGGACGGATGTCACCTGCAAATAAAATGAAGACAAAAGAGAAGGCCAAAGCCAAGTAAGCTGACCAACAGTTGGTTTTAACCAGGGCTGAGGTTTTGACAGGTGAGTATGACAGAGTGGAATAAGAGAATTATAGCTGTTTTGAAAAGGATTAACGACAGCTTCACAGAACTTAAACTGAAGAGCAATAAAATGGGTTCAAGGTTAGCAAGGCTTGACTATAAAATGTATCACACAGAGAGTAAGTTGGTCAGCCTCAGGTGCTCTATAAACAAAAGTCTGAGAAGCATATTTTTGGTTTGACTCCAGGCTTTCCAAACATTCTCTGCTTATGATCACTTATGTAGGACAGACTCTACAGCAGAGCATGCAGATTGGACATAGAGATTTGAGTACTGCTTGTAGCTACCTATGAGATGTTTTTCTCCTTATAAACTAACAATATAGTAGCCTGGGAGTTTGCTGAATATAAAGCAGTCTCTAAGAAGCAGGCCCGCTACACTTTGGACCCAGAACAAATCCACTAAGGAAATTCTAGTCTGTGCTTGGCACTTGGCATACACTGCATAATCAGAACAGGTATTCAATAAATTCAGAGTGCAGCTGGAAAAAGAGCATTCTGGTCTTCATTCATGGCTACAGGAGGAACAGTATAATTCTGTGCATATAGTGCTATTAGGCACTGATTAAAACACACACACACCCCCAAAAAAATGATGCCAGAAAAGACATCTGTAGGCCCTTCTGTGAAAATAAACAAAGTCTTCACAATGACCCTTGCAAGGAAGATACTATTTTTCATATATTACTGAGCAAACAGAGACTCTGAAACATTAGGTACCAACCAATGACGGGGTAGAAGAATCGTGATTCTAATCCAGAACTGCTTGATTTCTTTTTACTTGCTATGTGACCAATTCAAACACCTCCTTTTCTAAGATGCTCTGCTTGATAGAAGAAACCAGGAACAAACAACCACCACATCCCTATGGGTCTCATACTGTTTTGAATGTATTTTTAGACATGGCACTTATGTAAGATCCACATTGGTGAGAAGGGAGCATGCGCTGCCTTGTTACCCCAAAGAAAAGAGTGTAGCCCGCAGCTAAAACTCGATGTTGTGCTTTACAACGAATAATTATATGTCTCTGCCATAACAACTTGGATTCTGGCAAACTCTCAGATAATATGAATGAATAAAATCTGGTTCTATCCTGTGATAAATTAGATTTCACTTTCTAGTAAGTAAGTGGGAAGATAGTTCAGACTTCTTTAGTTTCAAACTTCTATCACAGAACATGCTGCCTCAAGGTACAAATGCTCTGAGTGTAAGAAATGTCTCCTATCTACAAGTATTAATAGAAAATAAGTCCAGTAAAAGCCCTGGAATATCATAAATCTCTTTAAGTGTATGATACAATAAATTGGAATATGGTAGCGGTTGCAAGGAACAGTTGTCAACTGAGCACAGGGACCAGAACACAATGACAAAACATTTCTATTAACATTAACCAAATGTTGGTATATTCATTCATGACTCTAAGAGGAATATTTCAACTCAGGTAAATACTGAGATGCATTGATCAAAAACTATATAAAATAGATCCAGAAAAAAAGTCAATTCTCTGCTTTGGAACTAATTCTCAACCAGCTGCTGGTTTATATACAAACTATTGGCAATAATATTATATACTGACATCTGCTCATTTGTTCAATGCTTTTTAAAATTAACCTAAAATATTCTATGAAGCCGAGGAAATGGAATCTGCTCTTGAGCTTCAAATGCTCATATATATATGTATACATACTTGCCTACCTGACAGTTCCACAGGCATCTAAAACCTACCACTAAGAGCACTGAGATTCCAGCTGTGGTGGCTTATTGGCCCTACCTAATTGGACCCTAACATATACTACATCTGACTTAGTTCCAACTCTATCACTCTGAACTTACTCTTTCCTATACCCCTTCCCTTTGACCTCCATAGTCTCAAGGCACTTCTATTTCACCACTCACACAGCTGAATGCATCATTGGCAGTCTCACCCAATTCAGATTCTGCTTCAATATTCTGTCTCTTGACTAGTAGCAGTAGAGAGCACTTATGTGTACGGGGCAGAAATCTGAGGCCAGGCCCTGTACTTTCTTCTTCCTCCTCTCACATTAGACCAGTAGCTAAGTCCTGTTCGACTTTACACCCATAACATTCTTCAAATGTAACCCAACAACTCTCTACCCTCTGTCTCCTTTAAATTCAAGCCTTCCTTGTTTCTCTTGGCAACAGCATCTCCTGATGACTAAGAAACTTAAAAGAAGTTGTGTGTTGTTCTTCTACGACAGGGATTGAAGCCATCAACCCTATGCTAAATAAAGTGAGTCAATTTGGTTTGGTCCTCATTTTCTCATCCCAAACTCTTAGACATGCAATGTGTGTG